CCCCAAAACCCCAAAACCCCATGTAAATTATTTTTAATTTTACAGTTAAGCACTTTAATTTAATAATTTAGCATAATCTTAAAATATTCTTATTTCCTATTGTTTATTTTTCAATGTACATTTTATATAGAGATGAAACTTTCTTCCAATTTATCTAGTTATGAATAGTATGCTCAGAAGTTAAATTCATTCAAAAGCTAAGTCGATTTCAATGAGTTAGTTTCTATTCTTTTGGGAATTATTGGGATCTGAATTCTGAATCAATCAAATTTAAAGAGTTTTTATCATTATATAGCTTCCATCTTGATTATAATCTTTGTTCTACTTCTTACTATACAATATCATAAAATCCTTTTTTTATAATCAAAAGACCCTCTAGTGTTCTTTTAAAATAATTAGGCTATTCGATGACAATATCACTTACAATTTCATCATATACTTCTTGAGTAAAAGAATCATTTAATTTTTATGAAATACATGATTTTTATGATCCTTTTAATTTCAGATTATTTTGATTTTAGGAAGACTTAATTGTTTGCTTTTAACAAGGAGATCTAGCAGAATATATCTTGAGCGACTGAGATTCTAAATGATTGTAATTTTACTCAATTTAGCTCAGCAACAATTCGATTTTATCTTATATTTCAGATATTTTTTTCTCTATTACTACCTCCTTAAGTTCCTTTTAATGGATGTTCTAATTAGTTTAATTCTTATCAAATTTTCTGTCTTCGCAAGTTTAACTTGTTTTCACTTTTTCTGCAAAAAATTTAGTGGAAGGTTGACTTTCTTAATACTACTCTCTGAAACTGTTAGAGGATTTTAGAAGAAAGTTATTAAAAGATTTGGTTATTTTATTTGTCTATTGACTTTAGGTTTCATTATAGTCTTAGGAAGCTACTTAAAATATAGCAATATTACCTTTAAATTATTATTTTTTAGTTTATGATTCTTTATAATTAATATGAGTGACGGTAGGTTGGATTTCCCAATTATCTTCGTATTATGGAATTGCATTAAGATTTGAATCTAATCGAGTTAGAGGTAATTTAAAATTATGCTTGCCGATTGATTCTGGAGTACTTTAAGTTGTTTTGATAATTTCAAAATCGTTATTGGACAGATCTGATATTTATGAGACATCAATTGGGTTTGTTAGTCTTTCAATTCTAATTGTTGGAAACCTCTTTTATTTGCCAAAAACACTGAAATCTTTTTGTAATGAGGGCTAATTATCGATGTTCTTAGTTTCTTATTTAGGTTCAGTGTTTATTGGGACTATTTTAGATAGCCTTGCTTGCTTATTTGCTGAAAAGCAGCACAATCTTTGCAGTAAGGTAATGCTATCCTTTTCATTTGCTTATTTGGATTTATCTTATCTTAATTTGGTAGACATAATTATTATTGTACTAGATAAGTTTGAATTTTATGAATGGTTTTGAGTTAGTTTTTTATCAATAAAATTATATTTATTTAATATACAATAAGAATTACTTCTCTAATAGCAATATTTTTAATAAGGAATCACGGACTAACCTAATAATTAATGCTTTCAGAATATTTATTTCGAATGAACCATCCTCCTTCAAAAATCAAACAATTCAATCCTATGGGGTTTTGGGGTTTTGGGGTTTTGGGG